TGCTAATTAGGTTCTACACTCTCCCTGAAAATCTGACTTGTTGAGTGGCTGCCATTGCCTGAGTCCAAGCCTAGCACCTTGTTGGTCCCCCAAATGGATGTGGTGCCACAGATAGGGGAGGGGCTCTGGGGACTTCATGTGCAGGGTTCAGGCATCTGTGCGTCTCCTTGATTGGTTGCTCCAGCCAGCGCCCTCTGTCTGGTAGTTTTCACTGTGAACCATCTTAAGAAAACTAGAGAAATTGGGGAAAACAAAACCATTTGAAGAAACTTTAAAAGTTCTTCAGTCACGCACTTAAGAAGAGACAAGCCACAAATCTAAGCCCAGTGCCCATCAGAGCCAGGTCTGCAGTGGTGCCTGGCTTGGAGCTGGCCCACCTCATTTTTTCTGAGACCCCAAATACCCTTCTTGCTCCTACCCACCCCCCACCCCCCGACAGAAGGTTGCCCAGCATTATTGCAGAATAAAATAAACTGCTGAACCCTTGACATCTGTGTTCAACTTGTAAGGATGGGTCGAAGGTTATGCCATAGTGTTCATCCCTTAAAAAAAGCATCATTTTTTTTTTCATAGTGCTAGTTAAAGGTTAAGGAAGATCCGACTATAACAATTTAAAAAGTGCATACTTCTAGTTAAAGGCAGAATTAAACCATCTCAATCACATTCGTGACTTGCCAACGTTTTATAAAACCTTTAGGAAGAACCCCCAAAGTAAGTATGTGGGGAGACATGATCACTGATGTGTTGGACAATTGTGCTGGAATGTGATAATGGGGCTCCTGGTGAGTGTGCTGTCACACTGGCCACCAGGCCCAAATGGAGGGTGGGGTGGTGCAGCGCCACGGAAACCCCGTATGATGATAAGTCTGTTCAAGTGTAGTGTAAATAATGTCCAAAATGATGACAAGTCAGGAGGGCGCAATGGAGCGTGAGTGGCAGTGACAGCAGTGGCACTTGGCGAGGCTGTGCAGGTGCAGTCATTATACTGCTGTGTGATATAAAGGACACTGGAATCTGATAACAGTTTAGAAGCCATACATGCAGATGATCAGAAATGTTTAAAAAGGTTGTCAAAGATTAAGTCCGTATGCTTTTTTTTTTCATGCATGTTCTTTTAATTTTGTAGATTTAAATATGTATAGAAATTTTGTACTTTTCAACCTCTTTATTCAGGGACACCACACAGATACTGTTTGTCTTCCACATGGATGTTTTTCTCTCCACTTCTTTTCAAGTTTGCCCCTAATTTGTTCACTTTCTAACAGGGTTTTTGTTTTCAGTTTTGCTCCTGTTTCACACTCAGTAGTGCCTTCATCTCTGTTCATTTTATCTCTTATTTGTTTGACTTCATGCTCGATTGGGACTGCTTGTTACCTTATCAGTGCTGCTGGGCTTCCTGGATGGTCTTATTGATTAATTCACCCCTGTGTGAATGCTGACTGTACTTTGCCCTCTGTGTTTCCTCTTCTGTTTTCCTGGCTTTTTTTTTTTTTTTTTTTCCAGAATGTAGACCTCTCCATATCTCAGAGTAGAGGGAATACTCCCTGAACCAGCTGTTTGCAGCTGGATATGGGCAAGGGCTAGTGTGTGCAGCCTGGAGGGAGCAACGCCTCCCTGGTTCCCAGGAGCTGTGCATATGTTCCTGTGAGTGTGAGCACATGAGAATGTTCTGTAGTGTGTACATGAATGTGTGAAGTGCTTTATCCTTTCCTTGGCTTCAGAAGGCAGAGAAAAGCCGAGAATAGCTACCTGTGTCCCCACCTGCACTTGGTATTGATATGGCACAAGGGCCAGTTTTCTTCTGCTTCCTGCAACTGGTCACTTCTGTTTTCTTATAATCAGTGTGTTTTAAGAAGTGGGCAGAGGCATTTTCTACCATCTTTTACAACTGGGGGTATATTATCTTTTATAGACCATTTATTTTACTGGTTATCAGTTATATGACTTGCAAATAGTTCTCCTATATAGTGGGTTGTCTTTTTTTGTTGTTGCTTTCTTAATGGTATCAACATTTTAAATTCTGATGAACTCCAATTTGTTGTTGTTGTTGTTTTTTTAAAGATTTATTTATTTGTTTATACAAGCACTGGGTACAGTCTGAAGTGCAGGAGGGTGAGAGAATTCACCAGAGCCAGAGCGGGGAACAGAACAAGCAGACTGACGAAATACACTGCTGAGGGGAGCAGCAGGTGAGAGAGCGAGAGGTCTGCTGTGCCATGTGGGACCCTCGCCAGCAGCCTCGCTCAACTGCTACGCCACCATGGGAGGCCCTCCAATTTGTTATTTGTTGCTTTTCTCTAGAGGTCATGTTCAAAGAAACCATTTCTTAATCCTGTAGAGATTTCTTCTATGTTCTCTTCTAAGAGATTTATGTTTTGGTTCTTGTACTTGGGTCTTTGATTCATTTTGAGTTAATTTCTATATATGTTTTGAAGTAGTACATGTGGCTATTCAGTTATCCTAGCACTAGTTGTTGAAAGATTTTTCCCTGCTGAATTTTTTTGGCATCCTTGTTGAAAATCAATTGACTATAAATTTGAAGGTTTATTTCTCACTCTGTTTTATTCTATTGCTCTGTGTGTCCATCCTTATGTCAGTACCACATAGTTTTGATGACTATAGTCTTGTAGTTAGGCTTGAATGTAGTGTGAGCCTTCCAATTTTGTTCTTTTTTCAGGATTAATTTGACCATTCCAAGATCCTTGCATTTGCTTCTGAATATTAGACTCACTGATAGCCAGCAAGGAAGCCAACTAGACTTTTGATGGAGGTTATATTGAATCTATGATCTATAGATCTATGCTGGGAATATTGCCATCTTAGCAATGTTATGCCTTCCAATCTGCTCATGTAAGATGTCATGGACCCCACTTTCTCAAGTCCCTGCCTGTGTATTTTGCAACTGGGAGTCCCTTGTACCAAGCTCACCCTGCTTTTTGGTTATGAGAAGAATGGTTTTAAGACTTCTGCAGTAAAATGGGAAGCAACTGTGAGAATGCTGCTGTAAAAATCCAGAGAGTGGCCACTGTTTCTCAAAATGTTTCTGGTTAACAACTGGTCAGAATTCTAAAGGCAGTGTAAAAAAAAGTACATCCGTGCAGGAAATGGACCCAGGCTCACAGCATAGTGGGCAAGGACCATGTTTGCCTACGAGCAGGGCCCTGCATGGGCGCCCAGCTGCCCACCTTGAGCCAAGGAGAATGAGTCCAGGCCTTTTCCTTGCTGCATTCTGCAACCCATAGTGGAGTAGACTTTTAAAATTGTATCTTGGAGGTTTTAACCCACAGGAAAGATACAGCCACAGTGGGGTCAGCACCCTCCTCTGAGTCTGGTCATGCGCCTCACCACCTGCGTGTTTGCACACATACCACAGACATGCCCTTTTTAAGGCCTGGTTTTGCTTTTAACTTTGTATTTAGAAGCAGTATTAGATTTACACAAGGTTGCAAAGATAGTGGAGCATGCCTGTGTGTCCTTTGATCTGCTTTCCTGGTGAAGAGCCCTCAGTTTGGGTCACTCTGATGTTTTCTCATGATGAGTCTGGGGTTATGAATTTGGGGAAGAATATAACTGAGGTGAAGCCCCCCACTCACCACACCTGGGGATGCTAACTAACTTCCAACGAACTTGTGTTGTTCTCCATTAGAAGTGAAGTTACAATTTCCCTTTCAAGACCCTGTTTATTACATGTGTGGGGAATTGAGCTCCACCTCCTGGAGTGAAGGATATCAGTCAAGGATATCGGTGGTAGGCACCTGTTAAGACCACCCAGGTCATGAGTAATTGTTTTGGGGAAGGTACTGGGCACTGCAGATGTCTTGAGTCCTCACAGCTGTGCCCTCTGATCTGCCTTCAGTGGTGGTTACTACTATGATGTTCTCAGGGAGATTCTCCATTCCTCTCCTAACTTCTACATTTATCAATTGGGATTCTTTTATAAAGACTTTTTTTCAGGCCTCCCCAGTGGCACAGCAGTTGAGCGCTGGGTTGCAAAGCTACCCACAGCCTCTGCAGCACCAGTTCCATCCCGGGCTGCTCCCCGGCCACCGGAGGAGGGTCCCACATGGCGCGCAGACCTCTCCTGCTGCCCGCTGCTGCCCTCAGCAGTGTACTTCAGTCCTTCTGCCTGCTCTGCTCCCCGCTCTGGCTCTGGTGAATTCTCTCATCCTCCCATGCTTCTGACTGTACCCAGTGCTTGTATAAATAAATTAATTAATTAAATAAATCTTAAAAAAAAAAAAGACTCCCCCCCCCCATTTATTTTCCCCAGGTCTTAATTTTGACAGCAGGAAGCAGCAGTGAGCCAGCCATCAGCACCTTCCTGGTCCTGCTGCTACCTCCAGTCGCCTGACAAATAGAGGGTTGTGAGGAGTACATGGTACTTAGAGCTTGGAGGTATTTATACTTGCTCAGCACCCAGTGAGTGCTGGTGGGCCTCCTCTTCATTTACACAGAACTACCACAAATCTCAATCCCCAAAGGCCCCAAACTGGCAAAATCTGATTTCTGCTTGATGGAAAGGAAATGTGTGTCCCGTCCAGTTGGGTTGACTGTGATGAGGGTGTCAGAAGCTGTTAACACTTGGAAATACTACCCCCAGTAGGGCTGTTTTGCCCTGGTTTAGGGATGTGAACAGGTCACCTGTTCAAGGGCACACGGCTGGAAGAAGCTGAGCCAAGCTTCAGTTGGACTCTGGTTTTAGAAGCCTATTACCCATTGCTGCCTTGGCCTCACCATCAGAGAAGCTTGTTTTATATCTCCTTCAGGACTCAGTACCTCAGTGAACAGGAGCTCTCCTTTAGAAAGTCCCCTGGTTGGGCTGCCCTTTGAAAATTGAGATTGGCCAAATCGTGGTGAAAGGGTTGAGTCCATTTGGGGAGTAGGGGGTTAATAAAAATAAAATCTCAGGTAGGTGCTCTTATGAATCCACTCATCTCTGTAACCTGCTTTGTGTGTGGCATGGGATGAGAAATCTCTGATGCTTTCTTTTGCTTCCCCAGCGCATCTATTATCTGTCCCTGGAATTCTACATGGGTCGTACGCTGCAGAATACGATGGTGAATCTGGGACTTCAGAACGCTTGTGATGAAGCAATTTACCAGGTATGGGGCCTTGGGGCTGGGCTGAGGTGTGGCCTCTCTTGGCACACTGAGATTTTGATCCAAGTCGCGCAGAAGTGAGCACTGCTGGTAAGATTTGCAGCTATCAGGGTTACTGGGAAATGTCTTATGCTGATGCTGGAGGGCGGGGTGAGGGAAGTGGGTTAGTGTTCCTCTCTCTCAAGGAGGAAAGTTCGAATTGGGTAGGAAGCAAGTAGTTCAAGGACTGGGTTACATTGTAATGCTAAGGTTTAAAGACTTCTGGAAACCATTGCACTCCTCATCCCAACCCCACAGCTGCAGCTTTAACACATGGCAGAAGTGGCTGGTATCATCCCTTTCTCCTTGCTTTTTTGAATTGGTCTCCTTACTCCACTCCTAAAATAATCTTTTGTGTTTATACTACCTATTAGTTATAAATTGCCCCTTTTCCCCCAATCAGACCGAAAGCACCTTACATAAGGATTCTTAAGAGTTCTCCTCTTGGAGGATAACTGTTCTCACAGTTCATTTATTTGCAGGTTCAAAGAAGGACTGGAGCTGCTGTGTGTTTTTTTCTCTTTGTCCCCCTCCCTGGAGTCTGTCTTCCTTCCACACCTGGATGCTCAGTGTGGAATTTCTGGTGTGAACTTGCAACTCTTAGCACCTTTTACTGCCTTAGCTTTTGTTTGGTTTTGCTTTGCTGTGGGGAAGTGCTCTGGGGGCCTTGTTGTGGGTAGCACTGTGTGATCTCAGCATAAGAGGGGGGCTTGGTAAAGAATAAGTATCAGAGCAAGTATTCTCAGTGGACACAACAAAAAAATTACAACAAAAATTTGACTAGCAAATAGGAATTTTATGCTCAAAATTATCTAAAACGTTTGGGGTTATCTAGCACATGGTTGTCATTTGAGTTCCCTTCACTGAACTTGAATGTTGGAGCATGTCTGCAGGAACCAGAAGATACATGATATTTTAGATCATCAGTGGGGCATTTCATTTTTCAAAACATTTCCTTTTATACAATTCTTACAGAGAATAAAGATTTTTTTTAAGATTTATTTATTTATGCTGGGGTACAGGCCGGAGATGCAGGGGGTGAGAGAACTCACCAAAGACAGAGTGAGGACCAAAACAGGCAGACTGACTGAAATGCACTACAGAGGAGAGCAACGGGCAAGTCAGGAGAGGTCTCCTGCGCCAAGTGTGTTCCTCCCTGGCCAACAGAGGCTGTTGATTGCTTTATAGTGTGGTGCTTAACCCCTTGCACCACCAGGGCGGCCCCAAGAATAAAGATTTTAGAGAATATTTATGCCATAAATATTTGGTATCTGTTTATAATTTTCATCACAATACAAAAAATGCGTTAATTACAGAAACTTATAAAATGTAGGTAAGCATATGTCCTATTAAACGTATTTTTCCCCTTAGAAGTAGCATTTCACTTCCTGTTTAATTAATCTTGTGTTTGAAAGGTGGCTGATGGTTCATCAACCACCTCAATCAACCGTGGTTGATTGAACCTTTAATTCCCTAGATACATATGCTGGACCCTTGGGGACTGGATGCTTCAAGTGGAAATCAAAGGATTATAGTGGCTTGGGTGGTCCCTCTCCCCTTCATAATATCAGGTTGAAAATAAGACAGGACACTTTCACAGCTGCATCAGACCATGGGTAGTAGGGGAGTGGTTATACTAAAAATTAGAACTTCAAAAGAATCACCTCTTTCCCAGTTGACCTATCAAGGACACATTTAAAGTTTTTCATTATAGAAAACCTTAAATATGTACAAAAATTGAGTGACTTTTCTAATGAATTCCTTCTCCGTGCTCATAACCTGGCTTCCCCTGTCATGGCCAGTCTGATTTGCCCTATACCTCTTCTACCATTCCCATATTATTTAAGCCAATATCAGAAAGCATAATATTTCAATGGATACCTCTAAAAGATAGGGTGATGCCATTATGACCCCTAAAATATTCACAATAATTCTTTCATAACAGTTTTTCAGGCAGTGTACAAATTCTATAATTGCCTTATAATTTGTTAGTAGTTGTTTAGAAGTTGCATTTGATTTATATGACTTGTAAGTCTCTCTGAGTCCATGACTTCTCCTCCTTTTTATTTTTCTGCCTTGCATTTTATTTGGATTTGTCCTGTGGGGTGTTCTGCTGTCTATAGTTAATTTATTGAATCTCCAGCTGGTGTTTTACCTGCTGCTTTTTTCCAAGGATGTCACTGTTGCTGCTTCTACTTAGCATTCGGATGGCTGTAGTCAAGAAAATGAAATAAAAGGCATCCATATTTGAAAGGGAGAAGGAAAACTCTCTCTATTTGAAGATGACATGATCTAGAAAAATCCTAAAGAACCCAGTAAAAATATATTAGGACAAATGAATGAGCTCAGCAAGGCTGCAGGATATAAATCAATATACAGAAACCAACTGTATTTTTTATACCTGAAATGAGTAATCCAAAAATGAAATTTAAGAAACAGTCCGCTTACAATAGTATCAAAAAAAGAATAAAAGGCCTGGTAATTAATTTTCAAAGGAGGTGCAAATTATATTCTAAAAACTCAAAAAACATTGTTGAAAGAAATTAAAGAAGACCAAAAAATGGAAAGCCACCCATATTAATGACTTGGGAGACTCAGTGTTGTCAAGATGGAAGTACTATCCCAGTTGATCTTAATGTTCAGTGCAATTCCACAAGAATCTAGTAGATTTCCTTGCAGAGTAAATAGCTGATTCTAAAATCCAGATACAAATGCACAGACCAGAAAGAATGAAAATAAAAATGAAATAAAAATGAAAGTTTTTAAGGACTTACTGTCCCCAATTTCACAAAGCTATAGTCATCAGGAATGTGTGGTATACATGTAGGATGGATATATAGAGCAATGGAATAAAATTAATGACTCAGAAATGAACCCTCAGGCCTCCCTGGTGGCGCAGGCGGTTGAGCGCCACACTGTGAAGCTGTCCGCAGCCTTTGCAGCGCGGGTTCGATCCCGGGCTGGCCAGGGCAAGTCCTACATGGCGTGGCAGACCTCTCCTGTCTCACCCGCTGCTCCCCTCAGCAGTATATTTCGTCAGTCTGCCTGTTCTGTTCCCCACTCTGTCTCTGGTGAGTCCTCTCACCCTCCTGTACCCCGGTTCTTGTATAAATAAATCTTTAAAAAAAAAAAAGAAAAAGAAATGAACCCTCACATTTATAGTCAGTTGTCTCTTTTCCAAATTAGAAAAAAGGGGTAAAATACATAACATGTAATTTACAATCTTAACTGTTTTGAAGGGTGCAGTTTAGGATTAAGTACATTCACATTGTTGTACAGCCATCACCCCATCCATCTGTAGAACTCTTCTCATCTTCCAAAACTGAGCTTCTATATCCACAAACCCTAAGTCCCCATTCTCTACCTCCCCAGCCCTGACAACTGTTATTCTACTTCCTCTCTTTGAGAATTTGATACTGTAATTACCTCCTGTAAGTGAATTGGTACAATATGTATCTTTTTGTGACCAGACTGATATCTTCAGGTTTCATCCATGGTTGTAGCATGTCAGAATTTCTTCCCTTTTTAAGGGTGAATAATATCCCATTGTATGTATGTATGAATATGTACATATAATATACCACATGTTCTTTATCCATTCATCTATCAGTGGATACTTGGATTTCTTCCACTTTTTAGCGAGTGTGAATAATGCTAATATGAACATGTGTGTACCGATATCTTTTTGAAATCCTGCTTTTAATTCTTTTTGGTAGATATCTAGAAATAGAATTCTTGTATCATATGATTATTCTGTTTAACTTTTTGAGGAACCACCCCATTGTTTTCTATAGTGGCTGTACCATTTCACATTCCCACAAACAGTGCACAAGAGCTCCAGTTTCTCCACATCCTGGCCAACACTTTTTGTTTTCTGGGATTTTTAATAGCAGCTACTATAATGGGTGGAAGGCAGTATCTCATCATGGTTTGAATTTGCATTTCTATAATAATTACTGGCATTGAGCATCTTTTCATGTGCTTATTGGCCATTTACATAGGTATACTTCCTTTTATTTTGCTTCACTTTATTGTACTTCACTGATAATGCTTTTTTTTTTTTTTTACAAATTGAAGGCTCGTGGATCCCTGCATCGAGCAAGTCTATCAATGCCACTTTTCCAACAGTATGTGCTCATTTTGTCTCCATGTCACATTTAATTAAATATGTGTATTTTTAAAAGGTATAATGCTGTTGTGCACTTAACAGACTGAAGTATGTTACAAAGATAACTTTTATATGTATGGAAAACAAAAAAAATTGTATGCCTTACTGTATTACAACATTTGTTTCACTGTGGTGGTTTAAACTCAGCCTGCAGTATCTCTGAGGTATACCTGTGTATATTCATTTAGAGAAATTCCTATTCAAATCCTTTGACCATTTTTTTTAATTGGGTTGTTTGGTTTTTGTTGTCATTGAGTTTTAGGAGTTCTCTATTCTTGATATTTGTATCTTAGCAGATTTGCACATATTTTCCCTTATCCAACTGATAACATCCCTTGTGGCACAAAAGATTTTAATTTTCATGAAGTTTAGTGTATCTAGTTTTTCTTTGGTTGCCTGCATTTTTGGTGTCCTATATGCTCAATTGATTTTTTTTTTTCAAAAGGACAGGGGTACCAAGACAGTTCAATGTTAAAATAATAGTCTTTTCAAGGAATGGTTAGATTTAATACATAAATAATAAGTTGTTACATAAGACCAACAGATGGTGAATATTGACATGTGAATAAATAAATTTGGACCATACCTCAAACAACCTATAAAAATAAACTCAAAATAGATTAAAGATCTAAATGTAAGAGCTAAAACCATAAAAAACAAAGGTATATTATTCTATTACTGGAAGAATATATAGGAATGAATAGATTCTTAGAAATGATACCAAAAGCACAAGTTAATAAGAGAAAAAAATAGATGAATTTGACAAAATTAAAAACCTTTGTGCATCAAAGGATGT